CTGAAACGTTGGGAAGAGACAGGCCCCAATTTTTGCCGTCTTCTCAGAATGAATTCAAGGGAGCTACAGTAGGGTTGTATTTTAGTGCCTGCCTTGGAGCACAGGCCCTTGTTCTTCTCTCTCCCGGCTGAGAGAAGGACCTGAGCTTATGTCAGAAGTAAAACCGACACAAACACTCACCCTGGCGACAGGGTGGGTCCAAGCCAGGGACCTGTGAGGGGCCCCGGCTCCCATCCGGGACCCCCGGCTGCCACCCTGAGGCCGACTTGTCCTGCGGAGGGTGCGCAGGCTCAGCGGCCCGACTGAGCTGGGGGGCGGGGTCCCGGGGAAGGGAGCAGCTCCTCTGCCTGGAGCTGCTTTCAGGCTGGTGCGGTGAGGGCAAGGCTGTTGTCCTGAGGTCTGTTGTTTGGCGGAGGCAAAGAAACACACCAGGGATGCTGGTGGGAGTCCTTAGCGTGGTTGGTCTTGTCCTGCTCCCTGGGGACAGGGCCAAGCCTGGGGTTGACCCTAACTGGCTCTCTCCCACTTGCGCAGGGAAGAGGAGTTGCATCGCTCCAACACTTCCACTCCAGTGAAATCGGACAAGGAGCTACAGACAGAGAAAGGTGAGCGTAGATGGGCCCCAGCTCTGTGCCTGGGTTGGATGGGCCACTGGTGCGATCCAGCAGCACGACAGGAGGTAGCTGAGGTCTGCAGGTGGGATTGGCTTGAGATGTCACCTGGAAACCAGGAACGTGCTGGTCCCAAGGCAGTGGCACTTTTGCCGGCCTCAGCAACCGCTCTAAAGGGATCTCCAGGTGATAAGCAAGGGGTGCTGATAGTGTCAGTGTGCTAACAGATGCCTGGGAGCTGGCTTGCAAGGGGGGAACACCAGCGCCCAAGCCAGCACAAGTCCAGGTGTCAGCCTTGGGGCAAAATCTGCTGTGGTGCAAGTAGCACCCTGATCACATTCTGGGCTGAGCTTATTCCAACGCTTCCTCAGCTAAAATGGAGAGGAAATCCTTTGTGCGCGTCGCAGGTAGGGTCCTGTGGCGCAGCACTAGATGTGGCTCATGCAATTTGTGTGGTTTGTGGTTCGGGCAGGCAGTGTGCAAGGACCATCCGTGGAGGTGGGAGGGGGCCGCTGCCCTGTGGCAGGCTCTTGTAACAGACTGCCCCGAGATGTGTTGTGGCCAGCTGCTCTTCCAGGGCATCATAGCCTTGTCCTCGGCTTAAAGCCGTGCCCCTGGCTCTGCCCTCTGAGGTGGGCCATCCAGAGAGAATGAGAAGGGAGAACCCCGTTGGTACAAGCCAAACGCCTCCTCTGCCCAGAGCTGGTCCTGACTTGTCTCCTTCTGTAGCGGTGGAGACGCAGGTGCGGAAGAAGCAGAATTCCCTGAGCCCACCGTCCGCGTCGGGGAGCAGCGGGAAGCGCAAGCGGAAGATCCGGTTGCTGTCGTCTCGCCGGGGGGACCAGCTGGCGCTGGTACGTCGCTGTCTCGCAGCCCCTTTTGCCCTCCTCTGGCGATAGAATGTGCTCACTGCAATTTCTGCAGGGCTGGGGGGAGACTGACCTGCCTGCCCTCAGGAAGGAGGCCCCGTCCTTGGCCGAGTGGGAAGTGACGCTATCCCCAGCCCCAGTGTCTGGTGGGCTGTGCGTGATTGTGCTGCCTGCTGCCGGCGCTGGTACGTCGCTGTCTCGCAGCCCCTTTTGCCCTCCTCTGGCGATAGAATGTGCTCACTGCAATTTCTGCAGGGCTGGGGGGAGACTGACCTGCCTGCCCTCAGGAAGGAGGCCCCGTCCTTGGCCGAGTGGGAAGTGACGCTATCCCCAGCCCCAGTGTCTGGTGGGCTGTGCGTGATTGTGCTGCCTGCTGCCCGAGCGCCAAGCCGGGGGCCAAAATGAATGGGGATCGGAGCTCCGCGGTAGCGTGCTGTGGCAGAACCACCTGCTTCACGGGTCTTGCGACGGCCAGCCTTCACCACAAGTTCAGAGAGGCTCTGCTGGCTTCCCTGAGAAGGAGCTAAGCTGCTGCTCTCTCTTGGCAGCCCCCGCCGCCTCAGCTGGGCTACTCCATCACGTCGGAGGACCTGGGCGCAGAGAAGAAGGCAGTGTTGCAGTGGTTCAACAAAGTCTTGGAGGATAAGGCTGGTAAGGGCGGACTGGGAATGCGGAGGGGACAGCAAGGAGTAGTAACCCAGGGCCAGGGCTGGCAGGGCAGGGTGTCTGTGTAGCGCAGGCTGGGGAAGCTCCTGGGCCAGTTCTGCCTGGTCCTCGGGTCTGGGAATGCTCTTAGTGCCTTCAGACTCAGGAGAGCTTGTGCCCCAGAGTCCCCAGGGTGATGGGTGAGGTCCCCAGGGCCGGAGCTGTGGGATGTTCATGCAGTTTCCCTACCTGCTGGGGGAGCTCTGTGAAGGGGTAGTCCCCTCCAGTGAGTTGCGGGTCCTGATTTCTTGCTCCTTACCAGTAGATGCAGTCCCCAGCACCACTGCAGAGACTACGCCCCTGTCCAGGCCGCCGGCGTTCGCCGTGACCTCCCCGGGGCCTGCGCCCGCC